AGGAGGAGGAGGAGGAGGCCATTTGTTTGGCCATTTTTTTGTTCGGCCCCCTGGCGCCCTGCCGGCAGGCTAAACCAGGTGCCGCCAGCGCGGCTGTCAGTCCGCGCCACCGTCGCCGAAGGGCGACTCCCTGCCCGCCGCCACTCGGGCCCTCGCCCAGCAGGCCGCTGCAGCGGGCGAGGCGAAGCCGTGGAGCTCCGCCGCCTGCCAGGCGTCCGCCACGACTGGCCGCAGCCCCCAGCGCGGCGGCCTCCCTGCACCAGCGGGAGCGCCCGCGCCTGCCTCGCCGTCTGCGCCGTCGCGGAGCACCGCCACGAGTCGCGCCTGCTCCTCCAGCGTGGGCGGCTGCGGGGCCGAGAGCCGGGCCTTGCTCTTGGGCTCCTGGAGGCGCATCAGGAGCCGCCGTGCATCCGCCGCCCTTTCGCCAGGGGCTGGCCGTCCCTTGCAGCAGCCCAGCAGGCCAGTCCCAGCAGGCGGGGACCGCTTCCAGAATCGGCAACCACACTTCACGCACCAGGCCACGGCCCCATCGCCATTCTCGAGGCGCGAGACGACGATGCAGTGCCCACGAACCTCCCGCGCCACACCAGCTCCTGCAATCGCGGCCTTCAGCTCGGGAGCGGCCACAGCCGCCTCTGCCAGCTCGGCAGCCGCGGCTGCGGCGGGCGCCTGGCCATGCACCTCTCCAGCAGCAGCCCCAGCAGCGGCGCCAGGCGCCTGGCCGCGCTCGAGGTCGGCCTCGAGCGCCAGCGCCGCCACCTCCGCGTCGGCCTGCTCCGCCGCGCCCAGCGCCTCCTGCGGGATGTCGTAGACGAGGTCGGCCGTGCCCACGACCCCGTCTGAGTCCAGCTGCTCTCGGTCCACCATGGTGGCGGCCAGCTCGCCAACCCAGCGCCCAAGCTCCTCCACGCGCCAGGCACACGCCTGGAGGAACCAGACCAGCTCCTCGTCGATCGGCCACAGCGCCGCGCCTCGCTTGGCCCACAGGTCGGCTGCCCTGTTGCCCTTGATCAGGAGCTCCTCCTCCCAGGTGGCAGCTGCCGAGAGCTCCTTGTGCGCCTTGACCTTCCGCACCGTGGCCGTCGGGCCTGGCCCGGCCCACCACGCCTGCCAGAGGTGGCGGCGCGCCTGCAGTGGCGCGAGGGCCCTGCCCTGCGAGAGCGCCAAGCCGACCGTGCCCGCGCAGTCGCAGAAGACCTCGAGGCCCAAGCCATCGGCCGACGGCTGTCAGAACTGGGCCAGCACGTGGAACGCGTAGTCCTCGCCGCCCCTGGCCTCCTGCTTGGGCCCGTACGCCCGCGGGACGATGCCGTGCATCCCGCCAATGACCTCCCCGCTGAGGCCGATCTGCACGACCGCCCAGCCTGCGCGGCGGGCCCCGCGCAGCGCAGGAAACCTGGCGCTGCCATCCACGAAGACCCTGCCCTCGAACTTTGAGCCAGGCGGCACTCCAAACCAGCGCGGGGCCGCGAGCGCGGCGTCGGCCGTCGCAGGGAAGGCCAGGGCGGGGTCAGGGCACAGCGCCCGCGCGAAGAGCTCCGCCGCAGCGCCCCCGCGCTGCGCCACCAGCCGCGCCCCCTCCAGCAGCTCCCGCGAGCACGCATCCCGCCGCAGCATCTGCCAGGCCTGGCACTCGAAGGCCCTGTGCCACAGCGTGCCGCGGCCTCCGCAGAGGCGGCACAGGCCGTCGCGCGCCTTGCCCTCCTTCCAGAGGCGCTCCTGCGGCCAGTGGGAGCCGCCAAGGACCGCTGCGAGCGCTCGCCTGCGGCGGGCCTGCCAGAGCGGCGGCGGCGGCGCGGGCTCCTGGCAGCCTGCGCCTTCAGCGGCCTCGGCGCCGTCCTGCCCCACGGGGCGGCGGCGCGCGTGGAGGGGGCGCTCCAGCCCCTTCCAGTGCACTGGCCATGCCCAGGCTCCTGGCCCGCGCAGCCGCTTCAGCGCGAGCACGTCCGAGGCCAGCATCGCCGACTCCCGCGCCACCTGCACCAGCATGCCAGGCGAGTAGAACTCCAGCGAGAGGACGCGCGCCTGCCAGTCAATGACGGCATTGAAGGCCACCATCTCGATGCCGACCCGCCTCAGCGCCAGCACGCATGCCTGCGCAGGGTCGCGGCACTGCCCCCAGGGGCGGCGAAGGTCGAGCAAGCCTTGCGCCCCAAGCCAGCATTCCTGCACCACCGCGGCGCTAGGCAGGCCCGTCTCCAGCGCCATGCCCCAGGAGCGCGCCACCTCCACCACATGCACCACGAAGGGGTCGCGGTAGGCCGCGCCGCGCATCGCCCGCAACCGCAGGCCGACGCTGGCGCCCATGGGCAGCCTGCCTTCCGCACGCACGGCGGCGATCCGCAGGCCGAGCAGCTTCCCGCAGGCGAGGGCCGTCACCGCGGAGCCCCAGATGGCAGCGGCCGTAGGGCTGCCTCTCTGGACGTGGCCCACTTGCGCACCTGCACTGCGCAGCAGGCGCGCTCTCGCGCTGACCTCCGCCGCGCGGCCAAGCCGAGCGCCCTGCTCGCGCACGCGCCTCCAGCGCCTATCAGCGGCGTCGCCGCCGAGGCAACGGGCGCCAGTCCAGCGGGCCAGCGGCCCATGCGCCCAGCAGCCGTCCAGCTCGTCGCCGAGGTCCTCGCTGTTCGCCAGGTAGCCCGACTTCGCCTGCGAGATGACCAGCCCCTTGGCGACCAGGCCCTCCGTGAGGGCCGCCATGGCCCTGGGGAGCTGCTGCACCACCTGCGCCCTGCCACCGACCGCCTGCAACAGCACGTCGTCGACGACATTCTGCAGGCGCACCACAGGGCTCTCCCGCACAATCTTCACGAAGAGGGCGTGCACCAGCAGCTTGGCCAGCCCGACCGCGCCGCTGCATCCAGCCACGATGGCGCCGTTCGCCTCGAACGGCTTGGAGACCGAGCCGCAGAAGGACACGCGGCGCTGCGCGCGGCACGACACGCAGTAGCACTGCAGCAGCGCGAGCGGGAACTCCGTGGCGGCCGCCTGCACGCGCAGCTCCTCGTGGCTGACGCGCTCGCAGAACTTCGCCAGGTCGGTGGCGCCCGTGGCCGCCGAGAGGCCACTGCTGCGCGCAAAGGCCGCCAGGAGGTTGTGCACCACCCCCGCGCGCTCGCACGGGCTCTCCGACGTGCCCCAGAAGGCAGGGTTCTTCATCGAGGCCTCCCAGCGGGCCACCAGCGGCTGCCGCAGCCTGCTCCAGACCCTCAGCCAGATGGCCGTGAGGCCGATCGGCCGCTGGCCGCCAGTGGCCTTGGGGATGAACACCACGATCAGCTGCCACAGCGCCTCCCGCGAAGGCTTCCGCTCCCAGGCCATGAGGAGCTCCAGGAAGCGCTGCCTGTAGGTCCGCGGGAGGCGCCGCAGCTGCTTCGGGTGGAGCCTGTCCCACCCAAGGCCGTACCCCTCGCGGTAGGTGCCCAGGACGCGCTCGAGGTCCTCTAGCTCCAGCGGCGGCAGCACCGACTCCTGGATGTCCCAGCACTCGGGCGCTGCCTCGCCTGCCCGCGATGGCTTGACCCAGAGCGGCTGCCACGCCTCCAGCAGCGCCGCCACTGCAGCTTCGCCCGCGACGGGCATGCGCAGGTCGTCGCTGCCGTCCACGCCCGCGAGCACCTCCGTGGGCACCACCGCGACCTGCTTGATGAAGCGGCAGGCCGCCGAGCCGCCCTTCTCGGTGGCCGCAGCCTGAGCCCAGGCGCGCCACTCCGCAGCCTTCCGCTGCTTGTCCAGCCTCCAGCGCCGCCTCGCCTCCTCCTTGACGAACTGCACCGTCAGCTGGCACGAGGAGGGGCTGAGCAAGCTCAACACACGGGCCACTGACAGCCCCGCCAGCGGGCCATCCTCTGGCCACTCAAGCTCGAACGCCAACAGCACCTCCTGCTGCTTGCGCAGCGGCGCCCAGCAGCGCCCTCCAGGCGCCGCCCCATGCAGCGCGCGCCAGCGGGCGCATGCCACAGCGAACGACATCCAGCGCCTGCAGGCAGCGCCGACGCTCCTCTTGCAGCCCTGCTTCCAGGCTGCCTCCATCACGACCATCTGCGCGCGAAGCCCGCCCGCGCGCCCCTTCCAGCGGCTGGGCGGCACGATCTCGTAGAGGTCGATCAGGTAGGCCTCGACCGCCTCGAACCACTCCTGGCAGCCCTCCTCGAGCGACTGTCTTCCCTCGGGCCTCCAGGCCGAGAAGGGACGCTCGAGCGGCGCTGGCCGCACTGGCGGCGGCAGCGGCAGCGGGAAGGCCGCAGGGAAGAGCGGCCGCTGCACCTTCGCCTCGGGCCCTACGCCGCGGAGCACCACCATGAACGGCACGTGGTCCTTCGTCGGCGCCCTCATCAGCACCTCGACCGCGTCCACAAAGCCCGTGAGGACCCTGCTGGCCACCGCGAAGTCGAAGACCTTCGAGCCGCAGGTCGGCTCCTCTGGGCCCACGAGCGCACCGCCTGCGCTGCGCGCCCACTCATGGACGTCCACGGGCTCCATGTTCCAGTCGCCCATCACGACCCACGGCGACTCCAGCTGCCCCACGAACTCGTGCAGCGCTGCCAGGAGCCCGATGTTCTCCTTCGCCCTGCCTATCTTCGTGATGAAGTAGGCCGAGATGACGCGGCACGGCTCCCTGAACCCCAGGTTCACCTCACACACCTGGAACCGATGGGCAGGGAGCCCTGGCGCGGCGGCGGCCGCCGACGGCCGCAGCGTGGCCACGGCCACTCCGCCCGAGCTCTCCAGCGGCCCTGAGCCCGTCGGCAGCGCTGCCTGGCCATGCCAGCTGAAGCCGCGCGCCTGCATCCAGCCCGCCGCGCGGGCCATCGCCTGCTTGCCCTTGAGGCGATGCTCTTGGAGGCAGAGCACCGCAGGCAGCCGCCCCACGTCGTCGTGCAGCCACTCGACCAGCGCCTGCGCCGAGCCCCACGCGGTGGCGTTGGCCGATACCAGCTCCACCACGTCCGCCGCCCGCGGGCGGCTACCCAGACGCGGGGCCTGCCACCCGCTGGCGCTTGGCCAGCGCTGCGCGCCAGGCTGCGCGCTGCTGCTCGTCCTCCATGCCCACCTCGTCGAACACGGCGTCGAGCCCGACGAGCTCGGGGCCAAGGTCGAGGTCACCGACGCGCTTGCGGCCCCCAGGAGAACCATCAGCGCCGTCATCACTGCCATCAGCCGCGGGGGCGGCCTCCTGCGCCGCGGCGGCCCGCTCGGCCGCGGCTGCAGCAGCGCGGGCCCGCTCGGCCGCCTCTGCCTCACGAGCACGGGCGCCGGCGGCGGCGAGATTCTCCACGAGGCTGCGGGCCTCGGCGGCCATCGCGAGCAGGGCGCCGCCCTCCTCGCCAAGCAAGAGGACCCTCTCCCGCTTCGCCTCGAGGCCCTCGAGGCCCTTGAGCAGCACCTTGCCCAGGCAGTCCTCGGCCTCCGCGGGCTCGCCCACCTCCATGGGCGACGGCCCCTTGTGCTGCTCCAGGTCAGCGCGCTTCCTTGCGCGCACAGCCTCGGCCACCTCCTCCAGCTGGTCGCGCCGCTTCTGGAGGACGTCCACCTGCTCCGCCACGCGGACCGCGACGGCCGCTTGCTCCTCCTGGACGGCCACCAGCGCTGCCTCGGCACGGCTGACCTGGCCCTTGATCTTCGCCTCCCTGGCCAGGAGGGCCTGGAGCGACAGCTCGGCCAAGGGCTTCGCTGGCGGCGGCGCGGCCTCCACAGGCACCAGGGCCCCGAAGTCCTGGACCAAGGCCGCCGACCAGCCTTCCCTGGGACCAAAGTGGCGGAGGAGGGCCTGGCGAACCTCCTCGTCCCTGCCGCCGCTGCCGCTGGGCCGCTCCTCCGCCTCCCGCTTGGCCGCGCCCTGCGCCCATGGCGCCGGCGTGGCCGCGGCGGCGGCAGGCCCAGGCTCGTCCGAGGCGAAGCGCACGCGCTTCGCCACGACCTTCTCCTTCCCCTTGGCCTTGGCCTTCGCCTTGGCCTTGTTGATGGCCTCGCCGATCGTGCCAGCGCCACGTGGCGGCCTCGCCGCCTTGCAGAGCCTGCACTCCGTGCGCCATGCCATGTTGACGTAGCCAGCAGCACACGAGCGACACGTCCAGGGGTCGCCACCCTGGCTGGCACCACGCGTGCCTCCTGCAACTCCATTCGCCATCGGCCCGCGGGGGCACGCCGCTCTGAAGATTGCACCCGCAAGAGCGAGCACCTGGCTCGCCCCAGAACGGCTAGGAGGAGGAGGAGGAGGAGGAGGAGGAGGAGGAGGAGGAGGAGGAGGAGGAGGAGGAGGAGGAGGGGGAGGAGGAAGACGCTGCATAGCGAGAAACGTAGAAACGTAGGGGGAGGAGGAGGAGGAGGAGAAGGAGGAGGAGGAGGAGGAGGAGAAGGAGGAGGAGGACGATGATGATAACACCTAAACTTCCATAAGTTGTTGAAATCGACGCCCCATCGGAGCGCCGAAAGGAAGAGCTAGTTTGGATGTGGATGACGTGTGGCTCCAGCGTCACTTCTCTTAACTCGCCCAGCAAGAACAGAGCCTGCTGCCACTGCCCGTCTTTCTCGCAAGCGCTGATGCCAGCGTTATAGCAGATAAGGTCCAGCTTCAAACCCACCTGCCTCATCTCATCGAGCAGCAACAGCGCCCACTGCCACCGCCTGCCTTTCTCGCACGCGCTGGCTACAGCACTGTAGATGACTAGTGTGTACCTGTGGTGTGATCACCGCTATCGACGTTGATAGGGGGGGCAGTGCTTGTGGGGCGCGCCTGCGACACAGAAGGAAGCAGACCTTCTGGTCGCATTACGCATCGAGTGTGGACGAACGACGAGGACGTCGGCCGCATCTAACATGTTGTGGGATTGCCTGCCTGGTCGCCTGTATGATCGAATGCGGACGACGAACTCAGGGACTGCCCCAGGGCTTCAGGCAGAAGTCAGGCACGCTCCTGGGAGGCTCCAACAGGGCCCCAAGCGCATCCCAAGAGGGCCCAAAAGGAAGTGGCGTCACTTCACTTGCTTTGGGGCTCGCTCGGAATACACTTCAAGCATCTTCGAAGCCTCCTTGTGGTCTCGTGGGGCCCGCTCCTGCCTACCCTGCGGCTTCAGGCGGGACTGAGGCGGCCTCGGGGAGCGCTCGGAGAGCGCCCCAAGTGCCCCAAGTGGGCCCAGAGAGAATCCACAAGCAAGTGGCGTCACTCCACTTGCTTGTGGGCTCTCTTGGGATCCACTTGAAGCTGCTCTGAAAGCCCTTCTGGG